GGTCTCCACCTCGTTACCTGCGTGTACAATGGCGAGCATCTCCTTATCATATACTGACATGTTTTGATGGGAGGGAGATAATGCCTTGCTAGTGTATGCGAGTGGTCGACCATTTTGCATGAGAACGGCTCCAATTCCGACTCCAGATGCGTCGACCTCAATGATGAAGGGTCTATTGAAATCTGGTAGTGCAAGCACCGGCGTCGTTGTCATGGCTGCTTTAAGTTTGTCGAATGCAGCAGAGGCTTTGTCTGACCATTGGAAAGCATCTTTTTTCAGTAAAAAAGTGAGTGGTGCATTGATCTTCCCATAGTCCTTAACAAATTTTCGGTAGTAGCCCGTTAGTCCAAGGAACCCCCGTAGTAATTTCACGTTTGTACGTTTCGGCCAGCCTTGCATTGCCTCAATTTTTGTTGGGTCTACCGCCACTCCTTCTTCTGATATTATATGCCCAAGGTACTCTACTTTTTGCTAGAGAAAGCTACACTTTGGTTGCTTAACAAAAAGAGTATTCTCCCGAAGGATCGTCAAAACAATCCGTAAATGCTGAAAGTGAGTCTCAAGAGAAGGGTTGTAAACGAGAATATCATCAAAAAATACCAGCATATATTTACGAAGAAAGCTCCAAAAAATATCGTTCATGAGACTTTGAAAGGTTGAAGGAGCATTAGTGAGTCCAAAAGGCATTACCAAGAATTCATAATGGCTATCATGTGTGCGAAATGCAGTTTTTGGAATGTCATCGTCACATACCTGAATTTGGTGGTAACCGGATCGGAGGTCCAACTTCGTGAAGACTCGAGCTCCTTTCAATTCATCAAGAAGTTCATCCACCACTGGTATTGGGTACTTGTCCTTGACGGTGATGCCATTTAAAGCTCGGTAGTCGATGCACATCTGCCAAGTTCCGTCCTTCTTGCGTACATAACCCCTTCGCAGATCGCTCCCGAAGTTCTTCTCTTGTCAACCTTTTTGGTGTAGGGACTCGGTTGATAGTAGAGGGGGCTGAGGGCTTCAGTATTATAGGTCGAGGAGTGATCCTAGTCCTCCGGGCTTCATGGTTCAATCGCTCCTTTTGAAGTCGTGCGAAAGAGATGGCTATCATAAGCGTGTATGGTTGTCGCGCTTTAACTTCTCCCCGGATCTCCGGCTTCAAGCCCTCAATGAAGGTCCCCAATAGCTATTTTTCAGACCAATCACGAGTTTGATTAGATAACCTTTCAAACCTAGTTTGGTACTCCTGAATGGTGGAGGTTTGTCGGATCTTTGCTAGTTGTCCATCAATGTTCTCGTAATCGGTTGGTCTGAAGAGGATCAGCAGTCCTTATTTGAATTGTCACCATGAAAGAACTCCATAAGTGTGTTCAAACTTGTCAAACCACTGTATGGCATCCCCTTCAAGATGTATAGCTGTAATTTCCACCATGGATGCATCCGCAGTTTTATGGTACCGAAAATATCGCTCCGCGCACGAGATCCAACCAATTGGGTCTCCTTCTTCCCATCTAAGGAAGTCCACTCTCATGTGCGAATAGTTGGGGCGGTCATAGAGCCTCTCCTCTCTTGGAAGTCATCTCTTTGGGCATGATGTGATTGGTTAGAGCTCTCTCCTTGATGTGATTTCTTCGGGCTTGGTAGTAGGCCCAAACTAAATTCGGTAAGGAGAGTCTGAATCTTATCCTCCATTCGTGCCTCAAAGGCTTCAAATTTAGTATTGATTGCCTCTTCACATGCCATAGTATATGACTCCAAATATGTGATATTAAGATCTCTCTTTTGTTGATGGGTTAAAGGCATGTATAGGTTGAGAGAAGTGATGGTTTAAAGGGTTGGTGGATTGGTAGATGAAGGCTGCGGTTTAGGTTTGTTTTGTGGCTTTTTTGGGTGCAGTTTGAGGGTGTGGTTTGGTGGAGTTTTAGGGCTGTGGATGAAAGTTTTCGATCAGTGGTGGATGGCAGCAAAGGTTTGATAGAAATCAATGAAAGTTTGCTACAGAATTGTGTTGTCTTGTAAGAGCAGAATTATCGTCGAAGAAACAGCGGTTTTTTGACGAAATCTCCACAAAAAAATTAACAGATTTGAGGAGGGAATTGACATTAATATCTTAGTTTATATGACAGAGAAAATATAGTATCAAGATCAAACAAACAGTGCTATGCGGTTGAAATTCTACAATGTATCTTTCGTTGTAGAAATGAAAACTTTGTGACGAAAAGTTTATGCAGTAATATAGGAACAAATTTTTTTTTTTTTTTTTTTCGGATAAGGATAACTAAATTGCAGTAGTAGTAAGGTAGGAAACCAGAACCTGTTGCAATTCACGGGATGATCCGCGGTGGTGGAGATGATGGCGAAATTTGGCGACGATCTTTTAAGCAATTGTGGGAATTGCTTTGGGCGGCTGTGGAGGGCTGATGGATGGCTATGGAAGGCCATCAAGATGCCAAGAACGCTGCTCTGATACCAGGTGTTAGAACCCTTGCAGATTCTAAACTTGGGGTTGATCTCTTTAGGGGATCAGCTTCCTTGGAACTCTATAGGGGTTCCTCCCTCCAAGTTGCTGCTCAAAGGCTGCAGAAAAGATTCATCTATTGCTTATGAAAAGAGGAGGAATACATGGCTATTTATAGGGCTTCTAAACCCTAACTCCTAATAGGATTCCTACTCAAGACTCCTACTTCTAACCAACTCCTAATAGGACTCCTACTTAACTTCTATTCCCTTACAACTCATAATTCTTCTCTAAGAAACAACCTCCTAACCCTAGCCGGCCTCTTCACTTCTTTAATAAGAGTCAGCTTAGGTAGATTTTACATGAATGTCCATCTCAATTAGGACTCTCCTAGAGTCCTAACAAAAATTCGGTTATCAAACCTAACAAAAACCCTTCTTTTGCCATTGAAACCGTCGTTATCTTTCTTTTTTCGTTGTTTCGACCGAATAGACTTTAATCACTTGAAGGACTCCAAAGGGTTTATCAAGTAAAAAAACTGATCATTATTCTCGGCCATTGTTCTTTGTCCTACATAAAGAAAACAAATTTCGAAACCTCGCTGCATCCTGCGAGTTCTTGGAAGAACAAGAAGAAGAAGAAGTGGGCGGGGGGGGAATAACCGAGTGACGCGACCCTAACCTGTTGACGGGAGAGGTAGTCGGCTTTGATGGAGGCGATGGAAATGAGGAGGTCCTGGAGGGGGAGGATCTTGGCCACCTCGCGGACGGCGGCCTGCTTCGCCTCAATACCCAGATATTCCATCTCCATATTCTCAGCTGCCGCCGGATCCGATCGATCCCCAAGCACACTTCCCCCGGTTCCTTCTCAAACTCCTCCCTTCTCTTCCAAGTTCTTCCTTCTTCTTGTGGTTTGAATCTCCGATCCGCCTTCGTCTCGCTCGTCGATATGGGAGTGGAAATGGGGTGCGGGGGATTTGACTAACTCCCTCGTTCCCTTTGCGGTAAGAGTTCCCTCCTATGACTCGTATGAATCGGTCACCACAAGTAAACGGCTTCGTATTGGTTGTCACGCAGTGGGGCCAACTTCCCCTGTTCGAAGAACCGTCCGAGCGGTCGACACTCAACTTGGCTCACGCAACGATTTATAGACACACACACACACATTATATATATATATATATATATATATAAGCCGAATCGAGAATCGAACTAATTCAAATCAGAATCAGTACTATGCGATTCGATTTCTGGTTCAATTCTGAGCCAAGTGAAAAAAGAAAAAAAAAAAAGGGTCAAATGACCATTGCAACGAGCAAACGGTCAATGGAACTAACGAGAGAATCAATGACAGTTCCAGTTTGAAATTAAAATTAGAATTAGAATCATTTGGGATCGATTCAATTTTGATTTCATTTTTTATAGAATTAAAATCGATACTATCAAGAGAGAGAGAGAGATCATATACCTTCAGGGCATTCGAAAGAATGATATCAAATCGAGATCAATGATTTTAAAAATAATATTTCTTTGCTTTCTTAAGATGAATAATTTTATTATCGTTAAAGAGAGCTTCAAGATTTTCTTCTTTCATGGATCGAGTTATGATAAGCTTCTCACTTCTGTACTCATGTCGTATAATCTTCTTTAGTATTTAGCCTTGATGTGGATAGTACGATATTTGGATTACCACCAAACTTATTATAGATTTAGTTTAACTTTGAAGTTCATATATATAATTATTTCTATCAGACAAACAATGTCATACGAGTGAGTTTTGTTGTCTTAGAATACGTGAGCATCAAAGCTATAATAAATATATCGAGTAAGACAACTTTCATAATTTTTAAATATATTTTTTTAAATCTCAAAAATACTTTACAAAGGTTGTCATGTATTTTTTTCACCCAATTCAAAACCGATTTTTGACTAACCGTTTACAGTGTTTTGGGTTGAGTTTTATCCATAAAAATATTATAAAATTTTTAAAAACACTATATAGTTTTTAAAAATATTATATGTATTTTTTTTCAAAAACAATATATAGTGTTTTGTTTCAAAAATATTATGATATCAATATTTAGTTCAAAAATTTTATTTTAAAAAATACTGCATAGCATTTTTATTTTAAAAACTATATATTATTTTGAAAATGCTATACAGTGTTTTTGAACTAGTCTTATAATGTTTTTATGGTTAAAAATTAACTCATAAAATATTGTAAATAGTTGACGGAAAAAATTTTTGGTTTGGATGAAAAAAAAAAATTTGAAGGAATATTTTTGGAACATTAGAAACAGGAAGTGATTATTTGAGAAATTTGAAAACGAATATCATAAAAATATATTTTTCGGACGATTATTTGGCCTTTTGCTTTCAGAACCACGACAATGGCCACCATGTAACTTGTCCTACGACATAAAGCACCCGAAAGAGAGAGCAATGCATCTCAGACACAGCAAGCTGAGAACTCTCCTCCGTGGCCACGGCCGAAGTCACTCGAAGGCTATCTGGCGTCTTTAAATGCATGAAAGGTTGCAGGAAGAACAATTCTCAACATGTAGGTGCTGGTTGGTTGACTTAAGTATTTTCCTCTCTTTCCATAGGTTATATTTGTACAGATAATATTCTTACATTTCCATTCTGTATCGATTCCTCTTCATGAAAGTGTAAATGTACATTAGGCCCAGCTGAAATCCACCGAGGTATTTGTTTCATCATTCTACCTAATTACTTCTCTTTTTTTTTTTTTTTTTTCTTCTTCCTAAATGCTTCAAGCTTATCCAAAGCTCCCTTCCAAAAGAAAGGGTCCACCAACTCAGACGAATTAAAAGTCCAGTTGGATCATGCTATCTGTTTTATACTCTTTTCGATGTTGTTTGTCTATGTTTTCTCCATCTTGGAGTTTGATCTCTATATAATTTTGACTAGTGGTTGTAAATCAAATTTGGTTTTACAAATATGTGTGTGATCTGTTAATGCTGAGATATGGGACTCCAGTGGTTGGTATACATCAAACACTATCACGTAGGAACTATACAAATCCTAATTTATTGGAGAAAAAGAACTAAACATTTTGTTGGTCCAGCCACAAGAGTTGCTCAAACTTCTTTATGATTACGGTCAAGATCTCCTGTGAAAACAACCTCAACAATAATCAAGATCTCTCCAATTACATGAGGAAATATCATACATCTGTTAAAGAAGATCATTCTCTGTTGAGAAAAATTCTCTCTTCTAATATGTATAAATAGGGAGTATTATGTATTGTTTCCATCTCAATGCAATCTTCTTCTTTGTATTTCATTTCTATTATGGTATCAGAGCTCTCGCTGTGAAATCCACTTCTAAACATCTCGAAGTAGATCCATCTCCCTGTCGGACTCCACAGAATCTCAGCTCTTCTCCTACTGCCTCGTGGACCGTGACTCCATATCAATCGCTCCCCCCTCCATCATTGCTCTCGCCGTGACTGCACCCGGCGTCGCCATCAGGTGTGACATTTTTCCTGGGCGAAAAGCGTCAGCAATAGTGGCATCTTCCTCTATCGAGCTCTTATCATTGTAGCGTTTTCCAAAGACGTTCTCTAGGATTGTTGCGTCGGGCTCCTTCGAAGTTGAACAAGGGCCACCATGTTGCGCCCTCTTCTCCTCCCTGCGTCGGCGGCATTCTTTACTGCCGCCTTTCCTCTGCCTCTTCCTGCAGAAGCAGAGCCAATGCAGCCTCGCAACTGCTCCCCGGCCAGCGACCTCTCCTCCTCGTTCCCGCATCTCGCTCGAGCGAGAAGTGCCGCTGCCGTTGTCCTTACTGCACAGCCATCATTGCCTTCCTGCAGTAGCAAGAATGATTGTATTTTTTCTTCAACGATCGACACGGGAGTGTCTAATTTACTATAATATGATCATATGAACCTTAATTATGATATGGTATTTTTTTCAGCCAACAATGATGCCTTATAATCTTTAACTTAGTCCACTCAAATATGACAGCTCATAAGTATATTCCCTGCACAAAGTTAAAGCTATTTCAAAGTGCTTTTCTTCATGACAAAGGAATGCATTAAAGGAGTTGGTTAGTAGTTATAAACACTTAATTTCGAAATTTTCTATGTATGAAGGGTTGTTTCATGTACTAGTATTTATTTTAGTGTTTAGGACTTAGAAAGAACTTTAGAAACTGATAATATCTTGGCAAAAGCTCTCTTGGAGAACTCCCTTAAACTATGTATCTCTTGGATACATCCTTGAGTGGTGAGTCTTTTGATTTCTGTTATGTATCCTCGTTTATAATCCTTGGGGTGGTGAATTTCTGTATCCCTTTGTGATTTTAACTTGGTGGTGAACTATTTTTCGATCTTCTTTAAGTTTTATCATGAGTTCATGTATTTTCTATTCAAAACACTCATTCCAATAAATACAACTGTACCGTGACTTTTCTTTAAGAGTTTGTCTTTGTCTACTATGACATTTTCTATATGAGAAACTATTGCATCAGTTTTCTTTCGAAATCCATTTTGCATTTTACCTTCCTTGGTATCAGTTTGGTATCAGAGCTAAAGGCTAGATATCATGGCAAGACAGAATGGAAAAGATATAGTTGGAGATGTTAGGACCAAGAGCACTAAGAGGGGGGGGGGGTGAATTAGTGTAGCGGAAATCTTTCAACGATAAAACACGTTCGAACGATAAAAACGATTTCGGTGTGAAAGCTGATTCTAAGATTACTTTAACTTAAGATCAAGCGAGATGACATTAAAATCAATCTATGAAGGCAGTTTGTAGTTATGATGAAAACCAGAATATAAGCGCAAATTGAAATACGACGTTCGTACGAAGAAGTTGATTTACGTCTAAATGCTGATTCGTAAATCACTTGATTAGGCGAGATGTAGTTTAAGCAAGGATATAAAGGTAGTTTGCAGTTATGATTGAAATTAAAACGTAAACACAAACTGAAATATGATGATCGTACGAAAAAAACAGATTTACGTCTAAACGCTGATTCGGAAAGTGCAAAGCTTGAAACCCGATCGTAGATGCGTAGAAAGCAGTAAGCTTTATAGGAGGTTTGCAGTAAAGATAATATGCTAAAAGTAAATGCAAACTGAGATTTAGAGTGGTTCGGTCAATCTTGACCTACTCCACTTTTGGCTTCCTCCACCGACGAGGTCACCGACGTCAACTAGAGGCCTTCCTTCAATAGGCGAAGGCCAACCACCCTTTTATAGTTTCGCTCCTTTTGACGGGCTTAGGAGACAACCCTTACAGAATTTTCTCTCCTCTCTTTACAACTCAGAACTTGGAAGAATAGAGGGAGAAGAACTTTTGGCCTTTACAACAATTTTGAGCTCTAAAAATCACAGAAAAAGATCAAGATTTCGGTGTAAGTTCATGCTCTTTCAGTGCTGAATGGGTGGGGTATTTATAGGCCCCAACCCAGTTCAAATTTGGAGCTCAAAACTGTCAATTCCCGGAATTCCGGGATCAGGCGGTTGCACCTCCTAACTAGAGCGGTTGCACCGCCTGGCAGAGCTCGAAGACTGAGCCTCTAGGCGGTGCTACCTCCTGTCAGGGGCGGTTGCACCTCCTGACAGAGCTCGAAGACCGAGCTCAGGCGGTTGCACCTCTTGACTGGGGCGGTTGCACCGCCTGGCAGAGTTCGAAGACCGAGCTCAGGCGGCCACCTCTTGTCAGGGGAGGTTGCACTGCCCAGTCTCGCTCGGAGACTGAGCCCAGGCGGTGCCACCGCCTGGCTGGAACGGTTGCACCTCCCAGTCTCGCTCGGATACTGAGCCCAGGCGGTGCAACCTCCTGCCTTGGGCGGTTCAACCGCCTAGCAGAAATCAGGGTCTGAATGGGTTGATCCATTCGACCCAATTTGGGTTTTTCAAGGGCCCAATTGCCCCAAGATTAAGTTAATGGGATCACCTCCCATTTTCAACTTAATCAATGTACTAACTACGATTTTTCCTAAGACATTTACTGCAACTTGCTCCGGTGCGTCAATCGC